ATTAAGGACTGTTAATTGGTATTTCCAGGTAACAACTGAATATAAATCTCTGACTTATACAGAGGAAATGAAACCAATTTCTCAGAATTTCATAATTTAATTCCCAGTAGGGCTCCCTATCAGACCTTTAATACAGAATTTACAATGCCCACCTAGTTCTCACTCCTATTTACAATCTCCACAGAACCCTTAACAAGTGCTGTAATGACTGCCAGCAGTTTGACTTTGCTTCCAGTATCAGCAGAGAGTTTTACAGTGGTTATAATTGCTGAGCCTTCCACCAGCTCTGTAATATCTGCCAGGTATTTCATGGTGCTGAGAGTATCTGCTGGGTAGCTTACAGTGCCCAGAACATTTAGCAATTTCATTTTCAGTAAGTTAATTTGATTTTAGGCATAATAGACTGCTTTCTGGAACCAAAATAATAATAGCTATTGAGAATGATTTATAAATAATATGTGTTGAAATATGCACAGAGCTGATCAAATTAAACATATCTTAAAAGAAAATATTGAGTGACTTAAAAATTATAAACTCCTTCATGTGAACATCATCCGTACTGTAAGGTATTTCTAGACATTGATTTTCCTTCTACATGCTAAAAGAGGTCATGAGATATCACAGTCAGAAGATGAGCAAAAAAAGAAGAATGAAAGGGAAAAAATAAAATAGGAGAGAAATGGGCATAGAGTTTTGTAGGAGAGTTAAAGAATGAACCAAAAAGTCAAGGTATGTGGACTCTGAATAGCTACAGGGAGCAGTTTGCCATCAGCTTTTTAGATTTATTTTATATGTTGAGGTGAGAAAAAAATTGTCTTTTGAATTTCTTCCTGGAAAATCTTTCTCACACATCTACTTACTCATGATAGCCAAAGTAGTAAGTTGCCTGTTGGAAACAGTTAAAAACCTGCTTTAGGGAGTTTTTGGAGCTAAGTAACTGCACAATTTTAGAATTCCCAGGGTTCTGTGTGCATATTTCACTAACAGCTTTTAAGAGCTACTTAAATCTTCTCTAACAAAACTCTCCAACTGTCAGATATGTTTGGTTATAAAACAATTCTTCACAATGTTGGAAATAAGGCTGAAAAGCTAGTTGGATTACAAAGTATGGTTTTGCCCTTGTCTTCTGCCTTAAAGACGAGGGACTGTGATGAATTCATAATGTTATGGACAGAGGATCTTTCTGAAAATGGTTGTGAGATTGGCTTCATGCAGTGCCTTGTTACTCTTTCTCCAAATACAAGTTACTCAATTTCAAAGAGGACAATTATATTTTCCTGAATATGAGTGCTATACATTTATAATTTTCCTAAATATGAGTGCTGAGGTCTAATAGGAGTCTGAGATTTTTTCTGGCTTACATCACCAGCAGAGATGGATTCTCTAGGCCAAATTCTTCACTCAGGAATGACCTGTATGAGTTTTTGTCTTACGGGGATTATGAAAGATTGCTCTTAAAGCTGGGTTTTGATTATTTATACTGATGAATGAGATATTAGAATTTAGTTTCTCAGTCTCAAAACTGTATTGATGTTACTGAATAGCATAAATAAGTTGAAATTCAGTTGTTCTGCAAATAACAATTGACATATAACTGTGATGGAGTGCTTTTCTGTTAAAAAACGTTGACTCATCATAACAGATGTTTTCAAAAGTGCTGACTTTCTTTTTTCTTACAATTAGATTTTATTTAAAAGTTAGAAAGTAGTTGACATAATATAAATAATATTTAGATAAGTATTTTGACTAAAATGCTTAAAATATTTACTAAATATTTCCAAAAAAATATTGCAGAGGTCAAAGTACAAAAATAATTTTATGGTGCCTTAAGACATTTATTTATTTATGTATTTATTTATTTATTTATACCACAAAGAAAATTATCTAATTCTCCTGGGACAGAGTGCTATTCCTCATACAGATCTCCTACAAATTAAAATCTTGTGTTTTGAATATGCTGTACTGATGTTTATAACAAAGTAATTGAGAACATGTTATTATTCCCTTCTGTTAATTAAAAAATAAACTGCTTGAAAAGAAAATATAAAAAAAGGATATTGAGAAACGTGTTTTTGCTTTTGGGGTTTTTTTTGCTTAGAGTTTATTGCATTGATACATAATAAATTACATTTTTATTCTTTATTATTATGGATTTTTTCATGCAGTTAGTAAATAAGTTTTGAATTTTTTTTGTTTCAGTAGCTTTTGTGATTTCTGCGGTCTACCATTCTAATCTTGGTCATGATATGGTTGCATGGACCTATAAAGCAGACAGGTTCAAAGAACTAGAGGTAGTATCTTGTCAGTTCTCAGGAAATCTAAATGCAGAGAAGAGTCTACATTGTTTTCTAGTGGTTTTGCTCTAGTCAGCCAGATGGTTTGCTGTGCATGCATTCACATCATTGCATCACAGCACTTTCAGACAAGCTCGTTCTTCTGCATGGCACCTTTCCTGTAGCTGTCCTTACCTTTCCTGTAGCTGTCCTTACCTTTCCTGTGCTGTGAGAAGTCTGCCAGAAAGCCCCATAAAACAATCTTGCCCATAAAACAATCTTAAACAGTCCTGGGTGGCTCTCAGGCCACGGTAGCAGAGCTTGCTCTGGCTCTTTGCATCTGACCGCATATGAGATGCTGGCTAAAGGTAATCCCCAAAAATTGTGTTTGCCCTTTTTCTCTGCATCAGTGTAAAGCTATGCACAGGTCTTTTCCTTGGAAGAAACAAATCAGTTGCTTCTCTCTTTATTATGCTTCTGCATTGAATGTCTCTGTTTCCCACTTCCTTATTATCTGTGTTGAATTGAATGGGAGAAAATCTCTTTCCATGTTGAGCTGCTTCAACACTGGACTGTAGGACAAGAGTTACAAGAAGTTCTAAGATACAGATATTCATTCACCTATAGTCTGCACATCTCTGAAAAACCCATGCAATAATTACAACCAGCAAACTGAGACAATTAGCAAAGCTAGTATTAATACATGTTGTCCATATACCATCCTCAGCAAAGAAACTTCAAAGGTAAAGGAAACACTTATAAGCACAAATGTTAGATACACTCCTTGAAGACACAGTCTTAGGTGAAAATATGGTAGAAATAGAACTTGGAAAGCACAGAATAACAGCAAATTGCAAGACAAATATCTCAGCTGAGTAATTTTCCTTTCTTGTATTGACACAGGTGAGATAGCATCTGGTTTTAGGTATCATCTCACGTACCATAAATGCTTCCTGAGTCACATGAGCCTGTTTTTCAGAAGTGGAGTACCCAGAGCTTCAGTATCCAGAAGCTTGGTTTGAATTCTCTTGTTGCTCTGTGTGCTTCACATTAATGAAAATCAACTGTAGGGTGTTTCACAGAGGGATTATTAAAGTAAATTATTTTGAAAGTATGTATTATGCCAGAATGTGTGTTCTGTTCATGGGTAGTGCACCTGTTGATTGTGATCCATAGAACTCCAAGCATTTACGTCAAATTAGAGTGAGAAATTCTTTGGGTTGGTTTATAATTTACTAAAGCTTTCATAGTCAATTAGGACTTTCACTGGAGATGGCAAGGCATGAACACTCAAAATAGAATTGGAGTTTTGTCTGTGTAGGATCTGTATGGTGAGGTTTCTGCCATGCCTTAGGGGGCTGTCTGCTGAGAAAAGTGTTAGCACTGCTGTAGAATAAAAATCCATCCTATTTAAAATACAGATGAGAAAATAAGATAATAGTTGTGAGTGTCCAATAGTGTTTGAATTATTACTCAGTCTCTGAATTCTGTAAACTACCTTAGTTTAAAGGGTTAACTCATGAATTAAATTAGCAAGTTCTGACTCATAAAATATTATTGAAATGTGGGGTTCGGGGAAGGATAGACTCCCTACTTAGGATGGACACTTCAAAGGGAGGAATAGAAATCAAAGAGGTAAATCCTTTTCTGACTTCTGTATTCTGTAATAAAATTCTTTAAATGTTTCATAGAAAATGTGAATAATTTATTGAAAGGGAGGAGATAAAGTTAGGGAATTGTTTGTACTTAACCATCAGCTTGTCTTTTGTAGTTTGCCTCACTTCACTGAGAATCAGAGTATCTGGTCCCCCAAAGGAGCAGAGTCAAGCTAAAATGCAGGTGCTTTTTGCTCTGATGCTCCATACCTGTTCATATTGAAACTTGTGCAAAGCAATAAAAAAAAGAAGAAAACACAATGATATGCTTTATGCATTCATTCTACTTGTGTTCTTAGAGATTTCTTGTCCATTTTAAGATTCAATTTCTTACAAAGGTAGGAAGTATTTCATCATTACCTATCTACCGTCACATTTTCTAATCTGCATTTCTTATGCCTAAAGATCAGGAGAACATTAGGGTATATTTCTCTCAGGCCACATGCTTCTCCCTAGTCTATTTTTATAAGTATTTTTTTTCTTTTTTTTTAATCTTACCTAAAACACAAAAGAATTTGAAACATTCGAGAAATTTTAAATCAGTTATAGTAATACCACTGGGCATTTTCTTTTCTACACTTCCTCTATAAAGTACTTTCATTTTTTTGAAGCAGCTTTCTTTTTCCTTGACATAGATTCTTAAAACAGAGTGTGGCTTTAAATGCTTTCTCAGCAATGATGGAATAGTGTTGTTTTATATACTGTATTTGTTGAAATGTCTTTATAATTTTACCTGATGTAATTCATATTTCCCCATCATTCCTAGCAGAGTAAGTTAGTATCCACTGTCCAATAGTAAGAACATTGAAAGAAATACATACTTTTAAAATGCTGAAAAAGGAAAAAAAAAACAAAACTAGATACTGGGAAATTTTGTCTTTGAAATAAATTTTTCAACATTTAAATTAAAGCTTAAATCAACTGAATGCATTCAGTCTCAATCTGTGTCACTTTTTAAGAGTATTGTCAACTATCTTGTGTTAGGGATATTGGTTAAAAAGTGAAATTTGAAATTCCTTTTTTATGTGGTGCCAAAAATTAAATATCTACACTCCCATTCAAGTCTTAAAATTATAAATATATATTTTTGCACATAGATGATTGTTATAAGTTTATATTTTTCTATGTAAAATATGTTGCAAGAAAAACCACTAGCTTAAAATTCACAAGGAGTATTTTTTTATTTATTTTTCTCATTGTACACAAAACATATATTTGGTAACATCTGTTACTTACTTAAACTTAGGGACAGGTTTGAGATTATTTTTTCAATAATTTCTTCATTAATTTACAAGTCATTCTTACTACATTAATGCAGTATAAACATTGAACTGTGTGGGGGTTTCAGTATGTAGTAACTGACTAAACTCAAAAACCTCAAGCAGGAAGGATGATGGATTAATTAGCCAGATTTAGATTTCAGTCCTGCAGTTTCTTGGCAGTCCACAGGTAGCTTGCTGCATTCATGCAGAGCATCATTGTCTTCCAGAATATGCAGGATCAAGACTTCAGCTCTAATTCCGCAGGGAGTACCTAATCGCATGAATAGGTCTAATTATGTTAAAATAGGAATATTCACACTAATAACCTTTTACAGGATTAGGTTTTGCAAGATATGGATAGTGATACAATTAGCAGTATTTAAATCCTCTTCCAATTACTTTCATTTTACAATGTTAGCAATTCAGGATTTTCTTTAATAAGAAAATGCTCATAATAACAGAATGTATATAAATCAGATAATAAAACTGTATATTTTGGTCTTTCAAAGATATATGCGGTAGATTCGTTTTATGTCAGAGCTAAGTGGCCATTTGTATATCAAAGTTGGTTTCCATATTATCATTTGGTAAATGAAATGAACAATGCTTTAACATTTTGTCTCCAAATTCTAGATTTCTCATCTAATATGATCAGTCACAAAATGGGAGCAAAAGGACTATGTTGCCCTAAATTTAATATAAAACATTATTATCTAATTTCTTTAGTGACAGTGTAGAACACTGTTGCAAGATTGGGGCCATAAAATTAGTAACAGTTAAATCTTATAAATGTGAATTAGCAGAAATATTAAAATGTTCATTTGGGGATGAAATTTTATTACAACATATTTTCTTGCATTTGTGCTCACACATGAAAATTCAGTTCAACAGAAATTTCATCCCTGAAATCTTGCTGATTACAATGCAGGAAATGTACACAGTTGTTTGCTTTTTTGGGGTTTTTTTCCATAGCTCACTTTTATATGCTGCATTAGAGGTTTTTAATGTACACTTGTGCTTTATTTTCTACATTGTCTTTGACTACTGTTCCAAAGATCATGCAAAATAGCTGGAGGAAAATTTATCCATAGTGGAGTGAGAATAGCAGTGAAATGAGGCCTTTTAAATCTTCAGACTCCTGCCCTTGAATACTTAGCTGGCCATATTCAAAAGCCAGTTGCTCATGAACAAAACAGTGTTAAAACAAAGAGCCTTGACTACAGCCCATTGAGTATCTCTGAAGATATATTCTTTATTTATTATGGTAACATGAACATTAAAACACAAGGATTAAATTTTATACTGGTGATTTCTAGGTAAAATTATATAAGCTTTTTAGCAAATCTGTTAATATTGTCCAATAACAACACTTATTAGGGTTTGCTGTAATTAATCTTAATTGTTATCATAGGAAAACTCCCTATAAAGCTTTCATGCTGATAATCTCTCAATTAAGTGGACTATAACATAGTGGCATTTCACATTTCTATAGCACATGTCAACATACAGCACTTTCTTTAATATTTGTATAAAAATGGCTGTTGAGAGCTTTTGACACTGTCAGATGGGCTGAAAGGAGTTTGGAATAGAAAAATGTAATACTTCAACAGAACTGTTGCTCGTTCAGCTTTTCTTTTATAAATTAATTTTTTTTTTTAACATTCTGGCATAGATGAGAACTCATGCAGCCCTCTGGTCTCTGGGCAATTAGGGACAATCTCTGACACCCTTGGGACCTTCCTGCCACCATCTTTCTGTGATCTGAGTGTGCAGTTATGATTTGAAAATAAAAAATTTTTATTTGAGGTTTGGAAAGATGAGTGAAACTGTGCTTCCCAGTTGGATAAAGCTAATCAGTGTATTTGATTATACCTGTTGGATTTGCTGGAGTGGGTCCAGAGGAGAGCCACAAGGATGCTTGGAGACTTGGAACATCTTTCCTGTGAGGAAAGGCTGAAGGAGTTGTGGTTGCTCAGCTGCAGCTGGGAAGGCTCCAAGACCTCAGTGTGTCCTTTCAGTACCTAGAGAGCGTTTAGAAGAAAAATGGGGACAGACTTTTTAGTGGAGCCTGTAGCAATAGAATTAGGAGTAATGGTTTTGAACTAAAAGAGCATCTATTTACATTGAATATAAGGAAGAGATTTCTTACAATAAGGGTGGTGAGGCACTCGCAGTGGGGACCCAGAGACATGGTGGATGCACCACTCCTGGAAACATTCAAGGTCAGATTGGGTGGGACTGAGCGAACCTGAGGAGCAAATGTCCTTGCTTGTTCCAGGGTCAGTTTAAAGGTGACATTTAAAGGTCCATTCCAACTCAAACCATTCTATGATTCTGTGATTTTGTAGAGCTGTAATTTTGTAGAGCTGTGATTTTGTAGTGCTTTACCTTTCCACTGCTCAGCCATTTTATTAACTGCAAGCTGTAATGAGTATGCAAAGCCATGAGCCAGCCAGTTCACTTGCCATAAAGGTAATTTGAGTAATCAAAATTAACTTTTTAACAGTGGGTTTCTGGCTGGCGCTGGGAAGAAATTTGTGTTGATGAATCTTCCAGTACCATAGCTGTCAATATGTCAATTTCAGCATATGGCAAATAATCAAATGTTCTTCAACTTCTGAAGTAGAGTTTTGGGACGATTTGAAAACAAAAAAATTGAAAAGTTGCAGCAGTTTTATTTAATAGGAAAAGAATTCAGTGATGTGGAAACTATTTGCCTATTCTTTTAGATTTCTATGCCAGTGCAAGACAATGCAATTTTTTAATTGTTTAACTGGAACAAAACCATGAATTTTATATTGTGGAAATCTTTCAAGTAACTGGTAACATTTTACAAATTTAAATGTTATGATATTTGACATTTATATTAAATAAATGAAATCTATTATTAAATGAGTGAAAACTGTTACCTCTGTTTTTCACTGCCACTTGATTTCCTATCAAGTAAATCACTGTTATCATCAGTAAATAAGAAAGGGCTTTTTCTTGTGCTCCTTCACAAGACATAGTCCTTAGAACTGGTGCAAAAAGAATAATTTAGTTTTACAAAAGGAATCTCAAGGAAACTCCTGTAGACAAAGACAGGTTAAATAACTTTGTCATGGCTGGAAATGTCATCCGTGCTGAGTGCTGGATAAAACCTCTATTACTTGGATTTGGCAAAATTGACTAGATTTGAATTATACATTCCCCAGCGTAGCCTTTCTTAGTTTCTCTCTAGCTGTAAATTATTTTAAGTAAATAAATCAGATGCGTTATATAATCCAAGTGAGTCTTGAAGTCTCATTTAAAGCTCATCTCAGCATATTTGCACCAAATTTTAGCTTCTGTTTTGTGTCTGTGGAATACCTTCATGAGGTTATCTGACACAGGTAACTGCAGCACCAGTAGCAATGGACTGAGACAGCCTGGGCTTACTGTCCTTCTAATTTATGATAAATCTTGTTTACTACTTCTGCTGATCTCCTTTGATGCTTTACAGAAATTTGCAGGAGTAAAAATGCGATAAAGAACTTGTAGCTTTAGGTAGAACAGCATGCTTGTCAGAAATTTTGCTCTGTGGTTAGTGGGTACCATTTCAGTGCAGCACTTAGCATTACAAAAGAAACATAACCCCATCATTTAATTATAAGATGCTGGGAAGAGAAAAAAACCCAACAATAAACCAACCAAAGCAAAACCACTGTTTGATATTCCTGTTTGAAAAGCGTGTATGAGAGTGAAAGGGACTGATAAAATGGTGTGGAATGTCTCTTGCCATGCCAGCATTATGAAGCTGGTGGAAATAAGAAGCTATTACACAAACAAAAGCTCTGCTTTTCCTGCAGTGAGTGGTAAATGAATGTGATACAAAGCTTTCTTGTCCCAAGCCCAAGAGACTTACCTTATTTTGTTGTTTAATACATGTTGGCATCTGTATTTTCTTGATATTATGTTGAAATTGGAGCCAGGCACAGCTTTTATTAAAACTGAAGCTTGGCCACTGTTCTGTATTCATTCTTGACTTGGCACGTGGTGCAGTCTGTGACCTTCTACACCAAACCTTTCCTTACTGCCAGCAAATTTTGCAACACAGAAACTGACGTTGTTGTGCTGGCACCTCCCTTTTTGGCAGAGCTGGCTGTTGGAGCAATTCAGATCATGCTCTTTTCTCCAGTTTCTTTTGGTATATATCAGATATAATTTGCACTGTCAGCAATTCAGATTTTTAACTGATGTTTTTCAATTTGTTTTTCCTCATTTTCATCTGTCCTTTTTCTTGGATTGGTTCCTTTGCTTTGTCCTCACTTCCAGCTTCCCCCCACTGTGCTTTCCATGCACATTTCTTTCCCACTGAGACTGTATACAAATATTAGAGCTCTAACTCACACTTTTGTCAGCAGGATGTGCCGCACTCTGTAGGCACACTCAGTTCAAATAAAAAGCCCATTGGCAATACAATAAATCAAGTGATTAACAAGAAGCAAAATGCCAGCCTCTGTTGTTTTTGGGGTTTTTTTTCTGTCCCAGAAGCTTGTGGTGCACTGTAGAAAACTGAATTTTCTACCAATAAACTGAAGTCAAAGGTGTATCCTGAGACACGAGCGCTGTAGTGCTGAAATGGTGTGTGGGCAGCCTGGAGAAAGCTGTGGATTTTCCTATTTCTGGTTGTGTGAAAAGTGTTGATAGCAAACAAAGCCAGATAATGAGGACCAGAAAAAGTATAGCAGAAAACTGTTTCTGGTAGGCTGAACAGCAAAAGGTGCTGGTGTAGTACAGGTTTATGCACTTAGTAGCTGTTTAAAGGTTATGCAGCGGGAAATGCAACAAAGCTGGCTGGAGGTAGGACAGTTTCTCCACTATCTTGTGCTGGTCATGTGGTTAATGACTAGCCAACTTTCTGTAGTGTTTAGACAGATCTGTTGCATGGGCCAGGTTTTGTGCTTATAGGTTTGCTTTTAGTCATCCCCCCGGAAGACAATAGTCTGCACTCATTGGAAGTGAATATTATCTGAAGATAGTAATATGGTACTTAAAAATGCAACTAAAATATGGGTAAAAATGCACTTTGTTATCTTTTCTGCAAACATATTTTTTCCACATATGTCAAGAAACAGCTGTATTTCCTTTGTACTCTTCTTCTTTCCAACTTGTAAAACAAAATAGAAGGCCAAAATTAGATGGGAAATTGAAACACTTTTAAAATCTCAAGAACTGAATTGTAAGGAAAAACAGGAAATACGTGATGTGTGTACATGTGTGTGAGACAAATTCTCCTATAAATATATTAAGGGTGCATGCATTGGAGCATTCCCGTAGAGCTTCAGTGCACCTTGCTATTTTTCTATTTTTGCTAATTGTTTTTAAAATAATTTCTATTTTCTATTTCAACATCCCGAGACACTGCATGTATTAAAATATGCAGGGGTAGACTCTATTTGAAAAGGACACAAGTGATAATCTTAATTCAGTGGGTTTTTTGTAACCTGATTCCTTCTCTGTATGTCCTCAGAATTCTAGTCTGGATCTAATCTGAAATACAAGACTAGATGGCATAGAGAGTCTGGCCTTCAGTCAACAAAACCCTTTTCTGCTGAGAAGTGAAAGATAACGAAAAAGATGTAATTACTGTAATGATGGGTTAGACCTTTAGATTCATGCTGCAATCAGTGATTCCTGTGGTGCTCTGCTGCAATCATGGTTTAGTGCTGACTGGAGAGACAAGACAGGTAAAGACTGTAAAACACTCCATCAGCTCTTGATCTGAATGCCTCCAGAGGAGTCACACCTCTCATTTGCAGATAGGGGTGCTGGCTCCAAGATCGAGGGCAGCACAGTCAATTGTCTTGGAAGGAGCATCTTGGAATATTTTTCAAGTGTGTAAAATGTAAATAAAATCCATGTAAATTACTCCCTCCCTTCTCAATAGTAGTAAATTACTCTCTCCCACGCAGTAGTAAATATTTTATTTTTATGAGGCTGTTTGTCTGCCGTACACACACACATGCATAAATATGAGCATCAGAGATTATATATATTTAATAATAATCCCAATTTAATTTTTATTACCCACGTAATCAAAGAAAAAAAATTCAATTGTAGAGGGCTATGCTCGCCAGATCTGTTATATTTAAAGTGCTGTCAAATCAATACCAAAATAGTTCCAAATACTTTCAGAATTTCTTACTTTATTCTCAAAGTCAAGCTTGAAAATATGTGTACAGCATTAATAAATACTTTTCTTTTTATTCTGAATTTGAAAGGTTGTTGGATTATGGATTTAAAATAAGTATTTCCTGCTGATGTGACTCTACAATAATTTTATAGCCATTTGGGATAAAGGTCCTAATTCTGAAACTCTTATTGGTGTGATTAATCCTCATAACTGCGAGCTGTGTCACAGAAGTCAACTGGAACCTCTGCATGAGTAATGGTTGCAGAACCAGCCTCAGACATTTAAATCATTACTGGCCCTGGAAAACAACTGAAGATTAGCTCTGGTATTAATATTTTTATGTGGGCGTCACAGAAATTAAAATCAGATGTTTTCCAGAAGTACTTATGTTTACCTTCCATGGTCTGCAGATGTCATAATCCATAGAAATTTTATTATTTTTAATTTGAAAATGAGTTTTCAGCGTCGTTTGTCAATTTGGCCAACCCAAATAGATACATTCTCAAAGTTGGTCAGGAGGATATCCTAGCATAATGGTATGTTTGATTCCAAGGGTATGTTTAATTAATTTTGCATCTTTGTTGGCAATTAAAAGAATTTGCAAAGAAAAAGAAAATGATTACACTGTTGATAGGGCTGAACATTTTTTGACATGCTGAAGTAAAGAAAACTTTTCGTTCACTTCTGATCATTAATTGGCAAAACCTGTAGAAAAAAAAAAAACCAACAGCATTTCTGGGTTTGGTGATCGCCAAGGCTGAACAAAAGAAGGGGCTATGGGAGAGCCTTGGACAGCAATGCTCAGGAGAGAGATAAATTCCAAATGATAGTGCTCCGCTTCATCCATATACTCAGCAGGTAATTTAACTTGACTTAAAGCTATTGATATTCTAGTTCACACTCTTCCTTCTTCATAGCCTCATGACACAATGTGTCACTTACTGCATGACCAAAACCATTTGACCAAGTAGAACATCCTCAGTTAAAATCTACTGTATTGATGAGAAATATTTTGTGTCTGTGAGGAGTATCTATTGCTGTTGTACGAGTCACAGTATGCTTAATTTTTGTACATATTAGTAATAATTTAATTAATTTATGGCTAAATTTGCATTCCATATATTTCCATATATTCCATAATTGACTTCATAACGCAACACAAAAATCACAACTTTTTAGAGAGATTGTCTCCATCTGCTAGTTAAAGACATTAAATATAAATGAGACCAAGGATGCAGCTGTTAAGAATGAAGCATTAATATGGTTTACCTTCTTTTCTCTTAATTAGAAGCCAAAAGTCATATAAAAATACTTTGTATGTTTCAAGGGATTTTTAGTATCACATCACTGTCTCCATATAACAGGTGCAATAAAAAGGTGAATTACAGGATGTGTACACAGGTAAGGAGGGCTTTCTGAAAGCTGCACTTTATAGTCAAAGCAGACTTAAAACATTTCAGTAGAGAGCAGCTAGTCCTTTTTAATCCTCTGTGTGCTTCTCCCAGACAGCAGTAAGCACATATTCACTTGTACTCAATTCACTTGTATTCAATTTTGCATGCTGTGCTGGCCAGCATTCTTTTTTATACAAAAGTAGAAGTGATCTCTCTCACTCTTGTCTCAAAGCAGGTGATGAATGTACTACTTAACAAAATAGTAACAAGGGCCCAAAGCTGGGTCTGTAAGTGCAACTTCCCAGATTTTAGGAATTCTGAAGACAGCACCTGAATGACATAAAGAAGTGTGTTAGGGTGGAATGCTGAGTAAGAGAAAGAACCCTACTGGTTGTCCACAAATTTTAGCAGTTGTAGAACCAGTGATTATGACTTGCAACCCAGATAGGCACAGCTAAGTTCATCTGTATTTGTTATGGGCAATGAAGGATTTTGAGAAGCAAGTTTAAAGAAGATAAAATGGAAACCAGTGAAATGGAAAAAAAAAAATATATAGATGTTTGAGATAGTTACTAGTGGTGCAAATGGTGGAAGGGTGACCTTTCAGCTGACAGCTCTGTAGGATGGATTGATATCAATGATGAGAGGCCTTTAAATGTAAACAGAAGAAAAAGAAGGGATAAGATGCATCTTTAAAATTCTCTTTCCTCATCAAGGTAGAATGATAACCAAGGTGCAAGACTGTAGGCCTTTTGTCTAAGGTGAGATTGCAGAGTGAGGTTGAAAAGTTATCCAGGCTCAGTGAGTTGTTTGTTGTTGGAGCCTGAGGTGAAAAGGCTGTATTGTAGGAACTATTGTGCACGATGTTCATGGGACTTTAGGACTGAGGAAAATAACCTTCAATCACTCTCAAATCTATGAAATAGCAGACTTACATCATGGCCAAAAATGTAAATACCTTCCAGATTTGCATTTTTTAAAAATTGTGTTAAGTCATTTTGATATGTGACTAGAGCTGTTTTTTGTAATAGCCTGCTTAGAATGTGCAGTATTCTCATTACTGGGGTGTTTCTGGGAGAAAGCTTTGAGAGATAAAGTTAGTTTTAAAAATATGGTAAAAAGTATTCATCTTTAAATAGATAAAAAGAGCTACTTAGATAAATAGTTAATGTTAAGTAATTATCTAGAGAGTAGACATGACTTGTGGAATAGGCAGAAGGAACGGGAAATGAAAAGTCATGGGGACAGTTGAACTTAAGGGGAAAGTTTAGCTATTATTAGTCTTATAATTAGCCAAATCCCAGGCATATGAAGGAGTTCAGGCTCTCTAGACAGTAAGTTTTTTTCTGGAGCACAGTGGGTGTTTCCTTTACTGACAGTGGGCTTGTAAGTGTTAGCTGAACATATATTAATAGGTGTATTTTTTCTCTAATTGGAAGAATCACTTTTTTATTCTGTATACTTGTATAGTAAAGCATCCTGCCTTGAGAAGGTGGCTGGGTTGGAGCATCTCAAAAGATCCCTTCCAACCTCAACCATTCTGTGACCTGTTTCATTA